GGGCCACGCCCCCCGTAAAAGTCCCGCCCCGGAAACCCAGTCAGGGGATCCGCGCTGGGGCTCGGTGCCTTCCTCAGTCCGTCCCTCGCTCTCTGCGCGTTTGGCCGGCCCTCCCGCTCTGTCCCGAGGCCCCGCCGCGCGTCTTGCTGCACAGCAGTCTCGGCCCTGTTCTGAGGTCCGGAGCCCAGTTGTGGTGAGGCTTTACCCAGCCCATCCTGAGCCTGGAGGCTTCCCAGTCCTGAGAGCCCCTGCGAGTTGCTTGCCCGCAAGCTCCTACTTAAAACGTACATGTTTGTGATTCATAATGAGTACATGTATTGTGGAGAGCTGTCACATATACGTACTGCTTCTTAATCCTGTGTACTTGTCTTCTCATCTTCTTCCCCTCCTTCCATCTCCAGATCCCCTTCTCCTCCCCAAAAGGTCTACCTCCCCGTTTCCTGTCCGTCTTTTGTTATGTAAACTTTGGGTTTCTCAATATTTAACCTTCTATGTCTGTTTTATTTCACTTACCATTATGTGAGGTGCATCCATTTTCCTACAAATGACTAAAATGTGGCCTTTAGGGCTGAGTAGCATTCCACTGTGTACACATCCCACCGGCAGCCTCATCTGGACCTCCTCAGTCACCCGGTTCTTGTCGCTTCAGAATTGTCAGCTGGCCGGAGGGCACTCCACCCCACACCTACTGCTTCCTGGGCATCACTGCGCCCACTCAGAAACTGGGCTCTTAACCTGCCTTCTGTGCCCTCTGTTACTGCTTATCTTTCAATAATTTCCTGTCTTCTCAACTTCCTTGTAAAGCCCTTGATGGGAACAAGTCTATGTCTCACCCTTCACACAGTGGGTATAGAACCAGTGTTTATTGATTATGATGGCAAGTCTGCACAGGTGTGGCAGAAAGATTTTAGATCGAAGGGCAGAAAAGCAATTGGATTCTAGACCCAGTTTTGCTAATAACCCCAAGGAAATCACCCAACCTCTATAATGTTTTTGGTTTATCAGCAAACTGAGACATTGCTGGACAAGATGCTTAATTCCAACAGTGATTCTGTGACCTGTTAGGAGTTCTTCCAGTGCTTTTTGCATCTCTGATTCTGTAACTCACTTTTCTGGGATTAGCTTGAATGAATATTCAGGCTCCCTTATGTGGTTCTTTTACATTTAAAAAGTCTGTTTTATAAGCCCATCACCCTATGGTGAGAATCCAAAGAAAATGAACCTCCAATTTAGGTGTTCTCAAGTCAAGAATAGGGGCTCTTCACTGTTTCATTACTCTCTCTCTAATGGAATCAGGTTGTTAGGGTAGTATTTCCTGATTGCCCTAGAGATCATTTGAAGTTGTTATTTAAATCAGGACCATTTGTAGTGTGCACAGTGCTTTTGTAGGAACTGGGGAAAAAGGCACTGCTTCCTGCGGACAGCTACGAAGGGATGTGTGGTGCGCAGCTTAATGAGAGAAACATGAGGTGGGTTTTCTACCCCAGTTTGTACCGAGGGGTGGTTGATTTTGTCCAGTGAGTAACCTGCCCAGTTGTACAGTGTGGTCCTGATTCAAGGAAGTCTTCCATTCATCACTGTTTCTTAGTGCTTGCACCCAGACTTCTCCCGTGTTTCTATTAAGATATGTAGAAGATATGCAATTTTCTATGAGCTGTGATCTGTTTACTACTCATGAAAGGATTGACTCCATGGTGTTTGATAGCCAGGCATCTCATACAAAAGAGAACAGGAGAGACTAAGTTCCTTCTTCAGAGACAGACAGCCTAGTGTGGCTGCAGAAAAGTGAACAGATATGTTATAGTACAATATGAAAAAATTATAAGTGGGATTAAAATAATCATTTAAAATATCTCTGTTCCTTTTATGTTATAATGGAGCCTACCCATGTAGCTATCTGGTCAGTTTATTTTAGCTAAATTTTAACTCTTAAGGATGATACAATTCCCTTTAACAATTATTACCTTCTGTAGAAAAAACTCACTCCTTGTATTGAAGGGATATTTCTATACTTTGAGCGTTGTGCTTAGAAGGTAATTTTGAGACTATTCTCATATGGTCTATTGGGTGAGGCCACACTTTTAGAGGCATCATGTTTCTCAAAGGAAGTGTTAATTCTCAATGTAGTCTGGGTGTCAAGAAAAAGGTGTTTCAGTCTCTTTTGATCTCGCTCTTGTGCCATAGACCTTGGTGAGGGTGATGGCAGTCAGTATTTGTGGGAGCTGAGTTTGCTTTTGCTCCTTGGGGATGTGCTGGGGCTAGAAGACCAGCTTGTAGTTCGCCCTGGGAAGACAGTAAGCAAAAGATATTTGAAGGTATAGTATCTAACTTCGTGTAATGTATGTGTTCATTTTCCTTTCTAGTCATATCAAGGCAAAGGTCATGAAGTCACGTCTCAGCTTTCTTCACTGCTTTAAAAAGTCATCCATTCACTAAGCTTCCTGTTATGATCCTTTTTGCTTTCTAGAACATCTTGTCAGGTTTTGTGATTCTGATGAGGGGGGAAAGAGTTGGAACCTCCATTCCTTTGCCCCACCTGCTAGAACAGGTGTAGGGCATCTCCTCATTACCTACGTCATTGCTGTGCTCCTTGGATGGGGAAGTTTCCAAACTTCCATGGCTCTAAGCATTTTATTCTAATTAAATAATTACCCAAGACCAGGCCTCCATCCCATAAGGAAAATAAATATTCGTGACTGATTCAGATGTCTGGCATTGGTGAACTTGGGTGGCTGAAAGAACCAGCTTGATGTGGAACTAGGCTTGTGGGAGTTCTTGGTGTAAGAGAGCAAAAGAGGTCATGTCACCTTGTTTGTACTATAAAAGACAAATAGCTCAAGCTCACATCTTCTCATCCTCCCTTCCCCAGTAGGCATTGGGCAAGAGCTCTTTGCCAACCCCACCACCTCCCTCTCCCACTTCTCAAAAAGTTCATGGTTCAGTTTCTGGCCATCTTTTCCTTTTCTTCTCCCTTAAAGCTTCTTCCTACTGTTCATCTTAACCTATTTTCAACTATATAAAAATATTGGGGCAGCCTATGACACAAATTTTTTCTGAGCCAGTACTCCACGCTCACTTAAAATGGCTTCATTGAGAGGGTTCAGTGAAGTACATACTCTTAGAATGAAGACAGGGATGGCACATGGCCAACTCCCTCACCTGCAGCATCTCCTGTTTGATGAACCACTCACTATCTTTTAAACTTTAGAATGAGTATTTATCCCATTTTGTAAATGAGAGTATGTTTTTGGTGCACTGATGAACTTAAACAATGCATTCCACTGAAGTAGGGCACCTTTCCTGGACAAATATAAGGTGTCTGCCAAGTTTCATGTACTCACTGGGTTCCACAGCAAAGCATTCACAGTCTTGTGGTATCTTTAAATAAAACCAGAATGCCAGCTCTTGCATTCTAGGAGGACTATTAATTGGATGCTAGTGTAGCTACATTACCACACAGGTCATTCTCTCCCTAGACGCAAATCAATAGAGAAAACTAAATTACACTCCAAAGGACGCTGGTGAGCAGAAATGACATATGAAAATATAATGAATAAAGTCATTCATTGTTCCATTTATTAATTCAACACATATTTGTCTAATACTCTTTTAAAGATGTTTTTGAGCCAGGATTGGTGGCACACAGCAGTGATTTCAGTACTCTGGGAGGCTGAGGCAGAAGTATTGCAAATTGGAACCCAAGCCTGGGGAACTTAGCAAGACCTATCTCAAAATTAAAAAAAAAAAAAAAAAAAAAGAAAATTCAAAAATATGAAGGGCTGAGGATGTAGCTGAGTGTCCTACCCCTACAAAGTCTTTATTTTTAACAAATCATTTAAAGTTTAGAATTATCAAATGAATGTATTTATTTTAAAGGGTCTATGCACAAAACTGTATTTGGCAGTACCCCATAAAGATATTTTATGTTTCATTTGGAAAAAGGCCAGTGATGTTGAAGGGATATATTCAAATGAAAGAGTGCAAATCAATACTATATTGATGCATATTGTATGGGGGCAGCCACAAAGTCCTTATCAGCTTTTATATATCAGAAAGAGAAAATTTGGCTGTGTTCCTGCTCTTCATTATAAAACAAGTGAAGTAAGCCACAACCAAAGTCTGCCATGAGGCCATTGCAAATCTATTTGATGACTTCTGTGCTGGAGGATTTTCTTCCTATCTCACCCCAGAGGTAAACTGGAAATATGTATTTGCTCATGAAGTATATAACTTATATGAGCTTTCAGAAAAGTAATTGGTAATCATGATAATGTGCTGAAAAAGATTTAGAGGTAGTATTTGTATATGTGTATTTTATCTGGTTTTTATATAAGAGAGAAAGAAAAGAGTTACGTTCTGATGGTGTTTTCCAAGAGTGTAGCTCTGAGCAATTCACTGAGTTTTTATGATGGCAGAATTGATTCACTGTTATTGCAGCTGCTACTTAAGCAAGAGTTTATGTCCATCATCATGTCAGCATTCCAAATTTAAGGTTTCAGATCAAACAAAATATTCCAGACTCACAAGCCCACAAACTCTCCCATTTTCTATTGGGTTCTTGAACCATACTACATAGCCATTAGGACACACTCATTAATAAATTAAAAGGAATGGTAGGAGTGCAAAGTTCTTCAGAAATATAATCTTCAAGATTAAAAAGCCTAGGGCTGGGGATTTAGTTCAGGGTTCTGCCACCTGCCTCACAAGTACAAGGTCCCAAGTTCGATCCCCAGTATCAAAAAAAAAATAAAAAGATTAAACAGACTGTATTTTAAATAAATGAGTAACAATAGCCTGCATTTGGAATTCACTCTTTACTTTGGAAGTATAGAACTTCAAACTAACTCCTTTTTTTAGTATATGTGCTGCCAAAGTGAGCACTCAAAGTACCTCTTAACAATCAGTGAGAGCTTACAGTTTTTCATTTATTATTAACATTATTCTTCTCAAGCTACAAATTAGGAACTTTGATAATTTGTGTTGGATGTCTTAGTCCATTTTCTGTTGCTACAACAAAATACCCGAGACCGAATAATTTGTAATAAGAATTTTATTTTAGCTCACAATTCTGGAGATGGAGAAGCCCAAGATCATGTGCATATTTGGCTTCTGATGAGGGCCTTGAGCTACCTCTTATCATTGTGCTGCCTTGTATTAGGGTGGGGAAAAGAAAGGGGGAAGCAAGAGATTTTTGTATGTCCAGGAGAAACCTACAGAAGGTGGCGGGCTCATTTTATAATAACCCAGTCAAGACATAACTCACCTCATGGAAACTACATTAATTGTTTCATGAGGGTAGAACTTATAAAGATCCCACAGCCTCTCACCACTCTGATCATTGCCCTAGTACTGAGGAAATAAACCTCAGCAGGAGTTTCAGTGGGAATAAACCATGTTCAAACCACTGCATCAGGTTAGAAATTATCAACTACAAATGCTTGAGATAATTTTAAGAAAGACATAGAAGGGCAGTGTGTTAGTTTTGCAGGGTTACTGTAACAAATTTCCACAAGTTGTATGGCTTAACACAACAGAAATTTATTTCTTATTCTAGTTCTGGAGGGAAGAAATCCAAAAGTCAAGGTTTCAACAGGGTTGACTCCTCTTAGAGGCACTGCAGGAGGAACCATCCCAACCCTCACCCGGCTTCTGGTAGTTGCCAACAATTGCAGGTATTGTTCATGCTTCCTGGCTTGTATCTACATGATTCCAATGTTTGCTTTGTCTTCTCTGTGTCTCTGTGTGTCCTTTTTTCTTACTATAAGGACACCTGTCATTGGATACTACGGTGTGACCGCATCTTAAGTAGTTACAGCCACTAAGACTCTATTTCCAAATAAGATAACATTCTGAGGTGCAGGTGGACATGAATGTGGGGGACACTATTCACCCAGTTATTATTAAATGTGAATATGCACACCTGAGTGTTTAAACTACTTTGTTGAATGTCTGTACAGTTACTGTGTGAGTTTTTACCTGGGGAGACATTTGGGTATTTAAATAAAAATGCTAAATATACATTCCAAATACAGAAATAGATATGGTCATAGGTTTACTATCGTAGAAACCATGATTCATCACAAAAGGAAGATAGTATTTGCCAGAATGGTTTAGGAAAAATAGGCTTTTTGTTGTTTTTTTTGTGGGGGGACCTTACGATAGATATCTTTTGATTCATTCAGCCCTTTTCGTTATCCATCCAGTTATCTATTCATGTTCTCAACTCTTCAGGTAAAATTTGAATAATTAAAAATATATTCAAAACAAGTTGAAAGAAATTAGAGAAAGGGGAAAATTGAGATTAGGAAAGTAAGTCAGGAACCAAAATGTAATAGGTCAGATCCCTTATATCTGCAAAACAGAGATGGGCCAGAGAGTTTTCCAGCAGATTAGTAATAAAAATGTGATTCCTGTCCTGGTAAGATGAAGAACTTGGTTACTGATGTTTGTCCTTTATATATAAACAAGGAAATAAAGCACTATTTGGTAAAGAGAATTACTTATTTTACACTGTTAGATGACATATTACAATACTTTGTTATAGATATTTTCATTTGCAGCATCTCAGATAAGCCACAGATTTTTCTATAAAATTTTTTTTCAGGACAATAGGAGTGAGATGATTTTTCCTAAATCTTTACCAACATAGACATACATTCTAGAAAATATCATCTACAGTACATTATCTCTGTTTTAAAAACTGACACCAGAATAAACAAAAATTTTAAAAAACCACCAATAGTAGGAAATATGTGGCATAAGGATGAAAATAACGAGTAGTTAAATAGCCTATTTTACACCTGTGATTGTGGAACAATATGCAAAGAGTACTTAAAAAAAATATACTGTTCCGTAGAACTCCAAAATATATTATTAAGTAAAAGTAGCAAGTTACAGAATAATTATCTATGATTTTATTTTACTTTTATATTAAAAACAAATCCATACAATACCAGTATGTATATAACATTTGTACATATTTATATATGTTTATCTACCTATAAGTAAATTGTTGGTAAAACTCTAGAAAGATAAGCTCCAAACTACTCATATAGTTATTCTGGATGGAGAGGATGAAATAAAGGTAGATTTTTTTGTTGGTGTTATTTGACTTTATATAATGAGCATGCATTTGTATTTTATGTGTATAACTAAAATAGCTTTTACAATGAGTACAATAGAATGGAAAATAATATCATTTAATATTGACCAGCCGCCCTGCTGTAGTAGTTTCTCTTCTCATCCCTTATATGGCCATGAAAGTATTACCACAAGTGTCATAGAACTCACACATAGATTGCAGGCAGAGTTAGGTTTAGTTCTCAGTTCTGTCAAAGACTAGGTATTGTGCCTCAGCTTCATTATCAGCTATGTGGGAATTATGACAACTCTTGCCTTTGTTGGCTGAAGATTATTTGGCACAAATGAGATAATGTATAAAAAAGCCCCTGTGGTGCTTCCCATGACTATCACTTACCTATAGCAGGCAGTAAATACATGTAGCAGAAGACTTTTCTATGTTTTAAGAGGTTCTGCCCCACCTTGGTTTCCTCTCTGTAAGTTTTACAAAGTAGAATTAATAGTATTCAGCATCTAAAGTACCTTATTTATTTGCATTTGGCTCTAGCTTTGTGAGTTTTTAGTTACGTAACCTTGTTCTCAGAACTCTTGGCCAATGCACACAAAGGTCAGGCAGAGGAACTCAACCTCTCGGTCCTCCAAGGGCCTGCATTTACCATATCCTTTTCTCTGGAGCTGTTGACAAACCCTTCCTGGCTTTTACGTCTTAATGCAACTTCTTGGAGTTGCCTAGATCTGAATTCTAGGTCACATGAACTTCTTATTGCAACACTGCACTCTTCCCTACTCAGTATTGCTGGCCTGAATACCAGCGGCTCCATCCATAGGGTTTTCACACCTAAAATTATTTATTTATTTATCCATTTATTTCCATTGAGTTTACTGGTACATTTTAGGTATACAGTACCATTACATTCATCCCTGGGATCTTGTATCTTTACATGACAGATCTTGGTTCTCATTTTTTCCCCTTGTCCCTTGCCCCCCTTCACCCCATCTACCTTCTCCTATTTACAAAGACTTTGTTTCCATTTTTTACTTTTCTTATATTTTTTCTTTTCCCTTATTTCCTTTCTCCTATCCTCCCAACTTCCCCTACACCTTTAGCCCTTTTCTTCCTATTTTACATGATCAGTTATACAATTTAGATCTTATTTACACTTTTAGCTTTTTATACCAGAGAAACTATTTGCTATTTACACATGTGTGTCTTATTTATTTCACTTAGAAGTATGGCCTCGATATGCATCCATTTTCCTATGAATGACTCCAGTTTCTCATTCTTTTTTTTTCTTTTTATTGAGTTTATCTCAATCTAGGTATGCAATACAGTTACATTCATTATTGGGATCCTGTACCTTTACATGATAGGTCTTGATTCTCATTTTTTCCCCTTGTCCCTGCCCTCCCTTCACTCCCTCCTCCCCTCCCCATTTACAAACACTTTATTTCCATTTTTTTATTTTCTCATATTTTTTTCCTCTCCCTTATTACCTTTCCCCACCCTTCCCACTTTCCCTACACCTTTAGCTTTTTACTTCCTATTTCACATTATTAATTATCTCATTAGGATCTTGTGTACTATTATAGTTTTTCACACCAGAGAAACTATTCAGTATTTCAGTTAAAGAAATCTCTGTATGAACATTAAAAGTAGGGAATCCTAAAATAAAACTAGAAAGGAAAGTAAAAGAGAAAAGCAATGATGTAAAATTAAAGTAATCCTTAATTTTGAAGATGAAAATGGTCCCTGAACATATTTAAATTGCTTCTTGCTCTTGTAGTCTTATATTCTTTTTTTTCATTATTGAGAAATACTTTATTAGTTTCTGTAATTAAACCCATGTAGATATGACCTTACATATTTAATACAGTGTGTTACCCCTGTACATATGGAAAAAAATTAACATTTCTAGACCAATATGGCTGTCAATTTCTGTACAATGCCAACTCAACACAGTAAATTGGGATAACTTTTTCCAAAGCAGACAGCGCAGTTAAAGTTTCCAAAAATTCAAATCATATATATATGTATATATATATTTATATTTATATAAAAAGACCAATAATAGCAATATGTTATGCATCAATAGCAGCAACAGCTTTTCCAGGTTCTGCAGTCATCTGAACAAAATTAGACATTCAGCACACTCCATTAAAAAAAAAAACAAAAAATCAAAGAAAAGAATAATACCCAGAAAACAGCAAAGTTCTGTTGCTGTTGTGGTACCTGGGACCATTTTTATTTTATTAGCATCTTAATCATCATCTGTAAAGAGAACATTCTAGAGTAATATCATTAAATGTAGCTCTGATAAAGCACAGTCCCTACTATGTATCATAAAGCAGGTACAAGATATTTTACATTCA